TCTTCTATGCCTTCAAATAAGAGACAGGCTCTAGAATGGAAAGTCTACCTACCAATCGACTAGGAAGAGAACCAGAAATTTTCAGATAGGCAGCAAAAATACTACTTACATGGACAAAGGAATTAGGGTTCCCTTTCTCCTCCCTTTCCTCCCAGCCAAAGGTTTGGGGGTTCTGTGCAGCCATCATCTGTTTGAATAGAGGGATGGAAGGGTCATTATAACACCAGGGTTAAGAGGGCATGACAGTTACAATAACACAGGCATCTTCATGGGTGAAAGCAGAAGGGAAAGAAATGAGGGCCTGTCATGTGGAAGACTGGGTACTTGACTTAGGAACAGTTTAGGGACTTTTATTCAGGTTCTATAAACTGGAGAGGCCCGGTGGATATTTGGGTAAGATTTCCATATGTGTAAGGTTTCAAATGAGACACATCAAGTTGGTCAAACTCTCTTAGTACATATTTTTAAGTAGTTTCTTGGCTGTATTTCACATTTTTTTTGTTTTTCTTAATACAACACATGCCTTTTAGCCAGGTTTCTGTTAATTTACTTAAAATATTATTTTTCTTATTTAAATGTCTGTGTTAACCTTTTGAGTTTCATTAGCTTTGAGTGATTTTGGCAAAATTTGAAGATGACAGAGAAAACTTTTTAAATGATTCAGAAAATACCAATAATTTATCAGCCAGTACTTGCCTAACCGCAGCTAATAACTTCGTTTTTACCAAGTATAAAATAAATTTTAAAGCCCCAAGAAACTTTGATAGTTCTGAAAAAGATGCCTTCTGAAAGCTTCTTGTACATATTTTATGTAAACTATTTTTACAAAATCCTTTTCTGCATATGTATTGTCTTTTCTTGCTCATGGAATCATCAGACAGCTTTGAATCTATGTCTGGAAATGACTTAATGTAAATATTCAGAATTTATTTTCTGTCTTGACTTACTGACTAAGAGAAAAAGATGAGACACATGGATTTCCATTAGGTGTATTTGTAAATGTATTTAATTCAGAATTTGGTTTTGCTTTAAATGTACCAGCAGTGTATACTTCTCCCAATGTCTGAAGACTATCTTCTGATACTGGAAAGTCAGTTAAAAATAAAGTTTGATTTGTGATCAAAATTAATTTGTTTAATAAGTTAAGATTTGTGATTTCTATGTAGCATTTCTCTACCTTGGTATTTTATATCTAGTTAGAGTTTCCTAAAGCTGTTATATGTATCTTACTGTCCTCATACTCTCTTTGTTTTTAAATATTGTCCCCTCACGTACTAATTATAGGGAGATTAGATTTACATATATTTCCAAGTTTGATTTCTCTTCATTTTAGTCTCTTCCTCTTTAAAAAAGATTTTTCCCCAGGAATTCCTTCAAGATCGAAAATATATAAAAGTTTTGTCTTTCTCAGCAGATTGATCTCTCAAGTCCCTAGTGATTGACAGTTCCTGAGAATAGCACCAGAATTCATGGTTTGGCAGGAATCTGTGATCTCTTGCCATTTTGATTTTTAAGCACAAGTGGTCTATGTCTGTATCTCATACCTACAACTAGCATCCAGTTCACATTTTTGTTTACAAGACTGTTACTGTGGTTATTACTGTTGTTAGGTAGCCACAATATCATTCTTCTGGCACCCATCATTTGACGATTTGGGAAACAAATGCTTTTCTGTGTGAAATTACTAAATACAAAGCTTATTCCTTTAACTGAAGAACTTTTGAGTATACTAATTTTTACAAATGTCTGGAGGCCGTTACATGTTCCTGCTTATATAAATTAAGTATTTGAGAGCCTGCTAGCCATACTTTACTCCTCCACCCTTGTTGAGTTTCTCATAACAGTGGACAAGCTGCTCCTGATAAGTTGCATGCTGCATGATTTTGTTTTGTTTTTGGAGTTTGAACTCAAGACCTCGCACTTGCTAGGCAGGTGAGCACACACTTAGCCCTTTTGTTTTCATTTAGCTATGGTTAAATAGGGTCTCTGGGACCACAGTCCTCCTAGTTATACCTTCTGCATAGGTAGAAGGACAGGTATATGCTACCGAAGCCAGCTTATCAGTTGAGAATGGGGTCCTGCTAACTTTTTGCACAGGCTTTATCCTCTTGATCTGTTCTTCCTGAGTACCTGGAATTACAGGTGTGAGCCACTGTACATGACTCATATTGTATGTTAATTTTCTGTGTCCCTGTCAGTAGTCTGCACCTGATGGAGTACATCATTAAGAACTGTAACCCTCCTCATCTATATCTGTAATAAAACCTAGTCATAAAATGGTGTTCAGTGTGGCCACTAAATATAAATAATTGAAAGTGTGGTCTTGAACAACTTAAAATTATCTGTACTCAGGCTGTTCTTATTAATTATCTCTTTGTCATATAAAACTGGCACTTTTGGAGAGAATTTTAACGTATAAGGTTTTTCCTTCCTTCACCAAGTAGCATCACACTGTATGTATAGTCTTCAATACTGGCATTTTTTAAAGCCCTGTGATCAGTGTTTATATCTGAACTGTTTCCTCATTTTACCAAAGTTTGATATATAGAGGGCCTTAATGTTTGCCAAAAAAAAACTTCCTAGCTTTTTATATGAACTTTGTGGTAGTGATTTATCACTTACCTTCCCCTTCCTTCCTTCATTCCTCTCTCCCTTCCTCCTTCCCTCCCTCCCTCCCTCCTTTTCTTTTCTGTTTTATTTTGCTCTGTTCTGAAGTTCACTGTGGTTAGACTTACTACAATGGAGAAAAGAGAAGCTACTGTTTCTAGCAGATGTACCTACATCCACTTTTCCTGTTCTAGCATTTGATCAAGTGAAAGAAACTTTAATGTCATTTTGTTTATCTCTTTCTTTTTTATAAACCACTAAGATAAGGTTCTATATGTTTTTTTCAGTTCTTAATTGTATGTAGTGCTTGGCTGGTTCACATTAAGACCAGCAAAATATAAAATAAATCCTTGACATTTTCATTAGAAGAAAGAGAACCAAAATAAGTTGAAGACTGTGGAAATATGAAAACCTTTGTCACAATGTTAATTTGAAAAGCATAACTATTTAATACTGCTTGCATTGGTATGGCAGATGGAAGAGGCTGAGCAAAGGGCTCAGTGAATTTATGGATTTTGTATTTGTCTTAAGTTTCATTTAATATCCTCATGTTGATTTTTATCATGTTTTTAACTAACACATACTGATTGTACATTTTATCGGTTATAGTATGATAATTTAATATATTTAGTGATCAGGACAGTCTAATTGCCATTTCCCCTCTTTAAACAGTATCATTTGTTTGTTTTGAGAATCTTCAGATATCCCTCTTGTGGTTCTTTATTAAAAATATGTTGTAGGTTGTTTTGAACTCTAGTCATCCTACTGTGTTATAGAACATTAACAGTCAGTCCTCCTATGTGTTATCCAGCTCACCTTACTAACCTCTGGCCGCCCCTATTCTACTTTATACTACACTGATTTTTTTTCAATTAGGGAAAAATTAGGACCTTGTGCATCTTTAAGTGTTAAGGAGGATATCCAGCAAAAGTTGCCATTTATTATAATCCATATGCCCTTATCTATATTTATTTTATGCATAAAATTTCTGTTATTTCAGAATGGTAGAATTCTATACTCCTTTCCAGCATTAACATTATCCCTTTTCCATGTGAGAATTCTTTCTTTCGGTTTTTGATATTACACTTTGCACGCATGCATTATTATTGCACACAGTTGTAGTTAGCTGTGTTTATGTTACCCTTCACAGCAGTTCAGGCCAGTGGAAGAACCGTACTGTGGAGCTGAGTTAACCTGGCTTTAAGTTCCAGTTCTGACATACTAATTTTATGATTATAAACATATTATTTAACCTCTGGGAGCCTCAGTCCTCCTCTCTCTTACGCCAGTACTACCTGTCTTACAAGATTGGGGTGAAGATTAAAGCAGCACAGGTAAAGAGGCCAACACTCACCGGCCTCATTCACTGTTCTTCAATTCCTTCCCTAATTAGAAAGATTCTTTCAAGTTATACACCTCCCTTCCTGTTACATATTAGGGGTCTAAAGCAAAAAAAAACCTGTCTCAAATAATTGACTCAAAATGTGACTACTTTTTGAATTGTTATATGACTAAAGTTTTATTCACCTTGCAATACTGACTTATTCAGATATTTTCTTCAATATCTAAGATTTAGACTTTTTCATTTTCCATATATTTAGAACCTTGAGAGATTTGTTTTGAGATACACTAAACATCTCTTGATTGTATTACTTATTGTGGTGGTTTTAACATAATAAGTATTTCTCAACATTTTCATTACCATCTCCCAAGGAGATGGTATCGCTTATGAAATTTTAATAGCACAGACATACCTATTTATGTACTAAATGTATATGGATGCATTATACTTAAGAGTAAAATTTTGTCACCCCTCTCTTCAAAGAACCAATTCGCACCCCCTTTGAGTGATAGATATCATTCCTGTCCTGATAGATACTGTTCCTTTTAGAAATGATCTCTTCAAACAGATTAATGGTTGGGTTCTAGTTGGATAACTCAGAATATATTCTGCTTGCTCCATTAGTTAACTGTATGACCATTTGTCAATCGCTTAAGTTTTGTAAACCTTCTTTTCTTCAGCTGTAACATGGGTCCTTATAAGGATTAAATGAGAATTAGATGAGATAGCTCATGAAATACATTTAGTGTATATTAACTGTTCAATATATATTAACTGTTAACTTCATTATCTTAATCATAACTTCCATTTTGTTCATTTAAACTTAAGATGTGACAGTGGATGTCTAGTTTTTCTTTTCTTCCATTTTCTCTTCCAACTTCCTGTGGAGGGAAAACTGTAAACTTTAGTTGTAACCTATGGATCTCCACAATAAGTAAATGCTAATAAAAAATTCTCATATAGATGTAATTTGTGTAGTATTTTACAATGAATTTCCATGGTAGCTTGAAATAAAATTATTATATTAAATAATTCTGGGTTCTCTTTTTAGATATTTGATTTAATGGATGCCAAAGCACGTGCTGATTGCATCAAAGAAATAGACCTCCTTAAGGTAAATAATGAACCATGGGCTACTTTAGCATAACTGAACATGTTGATAAAAGTGACATCAGAATATCACACTTACAAGTAAACAGATTTTTTAAGACTTATCTTATGTTACATTGGATTTAAGTAACATGAAGTAAGTTAGCATGTAAGTATATTGAACCATGTATTTACATTTTGGATTTAAGGTATAAGAATTTAATTATAATATTTGGTGGAATCAGCTTTTTCAAAGTAGGGAATAGACAAATGGGCATAAAACACTGAAGAATTTTTTTTAATCTCAAGATGAGTTATATTGAGAATGTGGACTAATCCAAATGGTTCATATGTTTTAAAATAATAGTTTTTAAACTTTTTGCAGACTTAGAATGGGTGGGTATAAAGAGTATGTCAGGATTTAGCTTTTCAGTTTCATCCACTTAAGAATGAGATTTCAATTATATCTACAATGCTGTTTTCTAGTGAAATTCTTTTATAAAATGTTCTGGCTTATATGATACATTTAATTTTTAGGTAAGACTTGTTTTTTATACCATCCATTTGTGTTAGTTTCTAAAACAAGTCAGCTTTATCAAAAAAGACAAGAGCGAGGTCAAAAGGATGCTTTCCCATTCTTCTGTTGGTTATAGTTCTTTCTTTTTATTTGGAAGTACTGGGGGTTGAACTCAGGGCCTTGTGCTTGCCAAGAAACTGCTTTACCATTTGAGCCACCTTACCAGCCCTTTTAATGTTGGCTTTTTTTGAGATAGCGTCTCACTTTATGCCTGGTGTGGCCTGGATGACGGTCTTTGTATCTCCATGTAGCTGGGATGACACGCAGGCACCACCATGCCCAGCCATTGGTTGAGGTGGGGTCTCACTAACTTTTTTGACTAGATGGCCTCAAACCACTATCCTCCCAATCTTCACCTCCGCCCCCACTAGCTAGGATTATAGGTTTAAGGCACCGGCAGTTGTAGTTATTTGTAGACACTGAAGGAACTAGTTTACATCTATATAAACTTGTGTTATAGAGATAACATACTACTATAGAAAATACAGAAGAAAAACTTTTAAGTGGAAACAAGAAATCACACAAATGTGATAAATGATTTCCTTTCTTCCCCTTTTCCTGATCCTCCTTCCTTCCTCCCTTCCCCCTTCCCCCTTTCCCCTTCCCTCCTCTTCCCTCCTCCCTCCCTTCCTTCCTCCTCCTCCCTCCCTCCTCCTCCCTCCCTGTTTTCTGCTCCTCCCTTTCCCCCTCCTCCCACCCTCCCCTCCTCTCCCCTCCCTCCCTCCCTCCCTCCCTCCCTCCCTTCTTTCCTTCCTTCCTTAGTTCCACAAGGTATAAAATTTTTCTTAGGGATGCTCTTATGAATCAACCTACATAGTTCTGTATTATTTATATTATTTGGTATAAAAGCAATATTTAGATATAGCACAGTAGATATTAGTTTTTTCGAAGGATGTATGTGTCTGTGCATACGTGTGCACAGCTAGTACTAGGACTAGTCCTAACTTCAAAGCAGGAGTAAAAAGAGATACTTTAGTTACCATGGAATGGTTGTAAGTTACAGTTCTCATTTTGAAGGATATAATTTTTCAGCAGTTGCTGACTTGATTTTACTATTTGTTTATTGCATCTATTTATATGTCTGCTGAGCATAGCAGGCATTTTAAAGTGCCTAATTAAAATTTTTAATAATGTTCAAATAAAATAATTCATATGTAGTTTTCCTTTTACTATTTTCAAAATTCATTAGATTTCAGAAAAATATACAGTCATATAGAGACTTCTGTAATTTAAAAACGAAATATGGTAAAATTATTCCTATGTTAAAAAATTGCAAATGATTCTTTGGAATTTAAAATAAGAAAACTTTTTTTGATTCCTTTTTTTTCTCAGCAACTCAACCATCCAAATGTAATTAAATATTATGCATCATTCATTGAAGATAATGAACTAAACATAGTTTTGGAATTAGCAGATGCTGGTGATCTGTCCAGAATGATAAAGGTAAGGTCCTTTTCAAATTGTCTTAAAGTTGTTTGGTTTTTTTCCTCATAGAGTTGTCTGTTAAGCATGTAGGCCCCTTAGGCACTTTAAATGGAAGAACTCAGCTCAGCACTTAGCATGTAGTAGGCAATAGTAATTATGGCTCTGAAACTGGTTTATCTGGCCAGGTTCACACTTGTCACATTAAATATCAGAACTCACCAAAATTAATTTGGACATAGGCCCAGAGACTTTTCTTCTAAAGTTGCAGTTTTGCGGCTTGATTCTCTGAGCAGACCATCCTTGATCCTGAGTCTTTGGACATCAAAGAAAGAAATTGAGAGCAGCCTGACCCCTTTCTGGGAGGGAATCAGAGAAGACCATGGATATCCACCCCTGACTTGACCATGGAAAAGTTGTGTAATTTTCTTTTCTAAAAGCATATTAGTTGAGTTTACATTTAACTGCAAGTAATAGAAAACCCAAATAACAATAACTTAAAAACTGTCTTCTTCAGACAAGTTACTTCTCTGTGCCTATAATATTAGCAAAATATATGTTGTAGAGTTGCTGTAATGATGGAATCAGTTAATGTTTATTAAGAACTTTGAATAGTGCCTCACACATTATAAGGCTATGTAAATGGTAACTATTATTATTATTACAATTACACCTTCTGTCACATAAATGTCTGGGGCTAATATGGTGGCTGAGATCTTTCAAATCTTATCTCAGGGAGCAAGGCTATTTCCAGCTCACCAAGTCTTCCTAGCCCTGAGGAGATAAAGAGTATCTGCTGGCTATATCCTGAAGCTGCTCCTGAATTGCTTGCCACACAACATTTCAGATTCAACCCTTTGACCAGCATATTGTCTTATGAACATATTTAGCTGCAAGAAAGGCGAGGACATACAGTTTTCATTTCACTGGCCCTGTGCCCGGCTAAACTTCTATTACTGTGAAGACAAGCTGAACAGTGTGGAAACAAATGAGACCATCCAAAAGAAAAAAGCCAAAACCACTTATTCACAGCTTGCTAAAGCAAGGGAGGCACCTACTGCCACTTGAATTGTGGCAGACTTGAAGGTATACAGAGAAGTGAAATTGTGCTAGAGGGAAAAGGAGGGCTTCACCTAAGCCTTGATTGAGGCTCCTGGCCTGAGAAAGCTACAGATAGACTTATGAGAAGTTGTGGGTACTCTACGGTGGATATAGAGGGCATTCTATGTTATGTGGTTGATTAGGAGTACAACTTGGCTTTCTCTCGTTGGTCCTAGTTGAAACTAGGGAGAAAATGAAGGGAGCTATCAGTTATAATCAAGACTTGTCCATTTTGGCCCAATTGTTACTGAAGTTATTATTTAGCTTTCTGGATTGTCAGAGGAGATAGCAATCTGGCTTCTTGGAAGTCTCCCTTATGGCAGGCTTGCTTCCTGAGTTGTTCATTGTAAAATGTTAGCTTCCTAGGTAGGTTGTTGCATGTTGTGGGTTAAAGTACTATTTTTGTGTATGTCTGGGTCTTAACAATAGTAAAGAGAGTTCCAAAAACATTTTGCTTTACATATCTTACTTACTTAATCTTCACAAGGATTCTGTGTATTAAACTTGACACTTTGAGAACATAAGTATTATTACTAGTAAACAGAATTGATATTTTTACAATTAGGTTTTCCTTCAATAAAAACCCATGTGTTTTCCTTTGGGCCCTTAAAAAGGTTTATATAACATGACTCCTTTGAAAATTAGATGAACTAACTTGATTTTCTCCCCAGAAAAAAATGTTGATGTACATACAATTTGTGTTTCATTATAAACATTCTGATTAAGATATTCAGTTGTTAAAAAACTTTGTTCTTGAGTGGGAGATTCAATATCAGTTACTGTAACTTTCATGTTACTTAAATTCTCTCAGTCATAATTTTCTCATCTGTAAATTGAAGATCATTTACGAGAGCTTTCTAAATTATAAAAGTGCTACATAAACAGGTAATGTTATTGTCAGGTGCAATTCTATAAGCTGACTATGTTTAAAGTCCCATAAGTAGAGTGGATCACTTTTAATCAGTTATGTGATTTTTCTGTTTTAGGGACTTACTACTACTAGTTCAAATAACCATCCATCAAAAAAATCTCTGCAAATTATAGAATAATATAAATTAGTCATAATTTTAAAAAGAAATGCAAATGCACAAATGCGGTATTTTAGGAAAAGATTCTATCAAATAAGAAATTTAAAATTAACAAATGAGTAATACTACTATAAGATTCTTTTCCTGAACCTTTATGTGTGAGAGTTTCTAAATTACTTATAAAGTAGTATGATGGGAAAGAGAGTAGGTCTTTCTGATCAGTTAGACAGACTCAGGACAGCAGAGTTACTGTTTGATCTCTCAATTATTTGACTCTGCTTTTCATTCTCTTCCTAAAACACTCTTCCACTGGCTCATTGAGTACCATAGTACCTTGGTTTTCATCTTTCCATTCTGGAGATTCTCATTCTTCTTAACTAACTTCTTCCTGACTTTAATGATGACGTTTTAAGTTTTGATTCTGGCTTTTATTTGTTGTGTTTTGTACCTACTTTGTAGGTGATCTCATTCATGCCTGTGGATTCAATTAGACTTGTTGACTCCCGTTTTTTTATCTTTACCTTGTAGCTCTCTTAAATTTTGAATCCACATAGCTCAATATGTCTGTAAACAAACTCATGATCTTCCTTACAATCTTGCTCCCCCCGCCCACTTCCCTAACTCAGGCTGGCTGTAGTCTATATAGTTGTGTATGCTGAAAACCGAGACTGTTTTTTGACATTTCTCTTTCTCTTACCTCCCATTTTCAGTCTCACCAAGTTCTGTTTATTGTTTCTTATAAGTGTTCAGATTTCTCCACCCAGTACCATTTCCAGACTCTCTGTACAGTGTGAAATAAAACACCTCTCACCTTCAGAGTTAGAACTTTTAAAACCATTTCCCAATATCCAACACCTACTCCTCAACTCTATTTCTCCATCAGTCTTTAAGGGGGAGGTGTGACAGAAAAAAGGAAAAAGAAAAACCTCTGATTTCAATCAAATTCCTATAGAGTTCCCCAACGAGGGTACAGATTAAAATATTTGAAAAGATTTACCAAATTGCGTGTTACAGAAGAGCCTCCCCGAGGGAGGAAACTCCATCTGTTCTGCATATTCACACATCCCTGGTGCCTCAACAGTGCTGGCTCCTACTTCACCCTTTTCTCTGGCACATGGACCTTTTAGTACCTTGACTATATCTTACTTTTCTTTCTTTGAGGTACTCATGTATGCAATTCTTTCTACCTGGGATGGTCCTCTACATTCTTGGTCTAGTTTATGTCTATTTATCCTTGAGGGCTTCACTTAGATACTACTTCGTCAAGCCTTTTCCTTTGACCCACAGTGGTTTTTGGCATAATTGTCTTTGGAGAACCCTTCTTTCATAGCAGTAAGTAATGTAACCCTGTAGTTATTTGTGTGATTACCTTTTTGATGTTCGTATTTCCCATTAGACAGACTTAAAGTTCTCTTGAGGACAGGGACCATGTCTGCTCAGCTCACCAGGCTCTGCTCACTTTCTAAGGAAATTATTGGCTGATAGGAGGAACCTAGTAAGTATGTGATGAATGCATGTGTAAAAATTAGTTCTTGTACCTAGGTGACGTGTGGTTGTTTGTGGCAGTTTCCTACTGCTTTACACTCTGGTCTCATGCAAAGTTGCTAAGACAGCAAAGGGTGTACTGATAGGAGAAACGGCAATGTTTGATTCAAGAGGATCCTTTTGGAGTGGGGAAGGGACTAAGAAACTCAAAAATTGTTTCCCAAACACCCTTATTAGTTCTTTAATCAATTCTTTATAGAAGAGACTATACTAAGAAAAAAATCATAGGAACTTCTTTTATGCAGGAACAGGACAGTGACTTAGAACAGCAATAAATACTTGAATTGTAAAGAAAATGATTCATTTCTTTATAGTGAGTAACATTGTAAATCATTGAGTATCACAGAAATGTATTTCATTCTCTCAAGTCTTTGGCTTAATTGGGGTATAAGAGGAAGTACAGCTTCTGGTCTGTATTCCAGAAATGAACCTCTGGACTCTCTGCTCAAGGTCTTAGAAAAACAAAGCCAAGGTTGTGAGCTTTCTGACGTCCAGGGTCCTTTCCCATGATCACTGGCTGTTGCTTGTAGTTGTGTAGGATTAAAGTTTTTGCTATCTTCCTGGTTGCCAACCAGGAACCATACTAATTCCCTGTCACATGGCCCTCTCCATAGTCTAGCATCACATTCCCTTAAGGCCAGCTGGAGAGTTTCTGATTTCAAATCACTAAATTGGAAGGGCTCATCTGATTAGGCCAGGCCCGCCCAGGATAATGCCCTTTGATGAACTCGAAGTCACCTGAACTGGAAGCTTTATTACCTTTAAAATCCTTTCTGCTCTAATACAATGCAATCTGGGGATTAATATTTAGCAGTATTCACATGCCCAACTCTTGCTCAAGAGGAAAGAATTATATATCAGGATTTGGGAATTTTGGAGAGTGAGATAACATTTTAAAATTCTGCTTAATACAGACTGATAAATTAACTAGACTATCATCCATGTTTTGGAGATAACATTATAACTTACAACATGAACTTTTAGATCTTATTTACCTAGTTGGTTCATCATGTGTTTTACATTGAAGACATATACTTATTGTACTTACTCAGATTTAATGTTGTATTAGGAGTGAAGCACTGAAATATCTTTTATACTCTGGGCTTTTGGCTCCTTAAAGCAGCAAAGACTTCCCAATAGAGCCATCTATTTTTGATGGCTCTGATTTACTGTTTAACAAGATACTTGCACTTCCTACTTCAGCCTCTGGCTAAAGTGTTTAGCCCATGTCAGAAACTGAGAAGGGCCAGTGATCTCAGATGCAACCTGTTCTTTTACTTGAGTCCTTTGTGTTAGATTGTCAACTGTTTATATTTCACTGTAGAATTATTCTGAAGTCTGCAGGGT